CCAGAGGCTGGTCCGAGGGAAGGAAACGAGCCCCCCCAAACACACCCCTCCGTCACAGGTGTTCCTGCCCTCCTGCTCGAGCTTCCATTTCACCCAGCCACTTCCTCACCTTCCTTTTTTTTTTTTTCTTCTCTTACAGCGGACATGAAGAATTACTTGTTGAAATCACTTTCCCTGTCATTTACAGTCTGCTGAAAAACCAACATACTCTCCCCTCTTCTTTTAGGGATAGATTAAGGGATGAGAATTAATGGTGCACGAGAGGACAGAGAGAAAAAGGGGAAAACAGCAACAGCTGCTTGTAAACAGCTTCCACGACTTGCAGCAGTAATTTCATTAAACTCCATGGCTAGCTGCGTACCTAACCTTCCCCTGGCCTAGCCTCTCTTCTTGAAAGCCCTCACCCACTTGTACTCCTTCAAAATTCTGTCAATCAGCCATAAACTTCATCTGTTCCATATTCCCAAGACCACAGTAAGCACTTCTGTTTACAAAATCACAGTTTAAATACTTCCAGAGAATCAAAGACAGATGCAAGCTATAGCCTCCACCTATATTTTATACTAAAGCTTCTGGACAAGAAAACCCCATCCATTCAGTGAAAAATCTGTTCTTTCACTTCAGCTGTCGGAGTGGCACCACAGACGAACAGGGGGCTGCTTGTATTCTCCAGCTGCTCAGATGACTTTTTCTAAACCATGGTGCAACATCAGGAACAGGTGACAAAACAACCCCAAAAAGGGGCCCCGGAAAGAGAATGTATTTACAGTTTTCAGTATAAACACCACAGAAGAGTACAAACCAGATCTGTAATTAGCAAAAGGATCACTCAGTTGTTTGGTTCAACTACAGTCTGTGCCGGTTGACTGATTGGTATTGATACTGCAGAGGAAAGATTAACTTTATTGTGTAAATCTGGAGCTGGAATGTAGGCAGTACTCTGTGTGACAAACACAACCATGCCATTAAAGAAAAATAAATAAAGAGGCAGAAATGAAAAATTTCAAACATGCTGCTATGAAAAAGGCGTGTCTGCAGTGTAAGAAGAGATAAAACCACTGCTGCTAACATTGTATTAGCACACCTCAACTAGTTAGTAACGTCGTAGGTGCTTTGGGGCACCTTTAGAAAAACCTGCGCCACGTTGGCATCCAAAGCTTGAAGCAATGTAAAATTAAATTACTATTCGTGGGATAAAAGATGAACTTTTGCAAAAAGCAGCTTCCATGTTAAAAACCATGGCAGAGCAAGATAAAGCACAGGTGTCACAAAGGCTGCATAGAAGGCTTGAGTGGAAGAACAATTTACATTTCACAGTTTTGGTGTCAGATTAAATACAAATTTTTTTGGATGTCAAAGTGCAGTCTCAGGTGTTGATATTAAAAAAGTCCCTGCAACACAGACACACAGTGTTAGTGACATTGACAAATCTGTTCTTCTCACCACTCATATCCTTGGCTCTATTTTTGCTGTCAACTGAGCTTCAACATTTCATGGTCAATGATTTTCACTTGAATTTCCATTCTTGTGTATGACCTAGCTCACTATCTCCGGGAACAGGCTAGATATCAAATAACTGTAAGTAAAAATATTCCTGAGTTTCTGCACAATATCACATTTTCTTAATAATGATCTATTAAATCTTAAAGTCTTACTAATCCAAATGCTGTTCCTTCTTTTCAAAATGATCTATTTCCAGCCCTTTTTAAGGCAACAACCTGCAACAATGTCATTATTGCTTAATTTCAATTCTTCCCCTCTCTTGGAAGAAATGTTTTCCTTCTATAGTAACAATTCCACCTCTCCTTGGTTCACCTTGGCAGAGATACAAAAGTAGACTGCCTCAGGGTTACAGTCAGCAGCAGGTATTTTCAGCAGCTCTTGTATTTACGGCTGTATTTTCTTTTCCACAGTTCACAAACCAAAATAACAATCTTTCCTGCAGTGCAATTAAGGACTACATGTACACCAGGAGAACCCACAGTAAGCCTTACTACCAGAAAATAAATACTGGGGCCAGAAAGGAGGAACAAACACACATTTTCTTAGTATAAGATTTTTTTCATATATTACAAAATTACAGTTTCAATAAAGAAGTAGAAAAATAGGAAATTATTTGGAAAGCGCTTGCAAAATACAAGCCCTTCCTCAAAAGGCATTAATTATCCAAACTACTACACATAAATTATCTGAACATTCAGTGACCTACATAGAGGGTCCCAGTCGATACACTGAACACAGAGGTTGAAAAGAATAGAAAAGTATGTTTTCACTGGAAGGTCTATCTCAAACTGGGGAAAGCCAGGCCTCAGTTACCATTCTGGAATCCAGCTTCACTTGTGTCAGTATCGTGTTCCTTAGAGAAGGGAAAAGGAGAAAGGAGGGAAAAAAAAAAAAAGGATTTTAACATTACATTTTCGTCTTAACTAGATTATTTGAGAAACAGGGAACACTTGCTAGTAGAAACAGCTGATCTGCCAATATGTTCTAAACAGACTTTGAAGCATAAAATTTACTACACAGAATTAGTTCAACACAGTACTGCTTGTGAGTGACAATGTGCTGGTTTCACATCCACACTGTAGCATCAGCAAGCACTGTGAGCATTCCTGAAGGTACACTGCACCATTAATGAACTGTATTTAGCTGAAATTACCTAAACTACACTTGCATGTATTCATCCCCCAATTAAAATAAAAGAGAGACTTAATAAATTGAGCGCTACACATTCGATACAGATTAGGAGTCATAAGTATTCTGGATCACGCTTCGCTGGTCTAATTTATCACACAACAAATGTTTTAACACATCACTGTACTTCTTGCCTGTGACAACTGTAGCTGCTACAAAGATGTATCAGCCTTAGCCCTGATACTAACAACTATTCACTTGTAATTCTGTTATTAAAAATACCTGATTCAGTTTCTTAAACTCAACCACTTGGAAGAAGATGTGCTCCAGGATATGTTTGGCATCTTGCTTCTCCTTTGTGAGTTTACTTGTTACTCCTAGGATATCACCACATTTTCGAACGTAAAACTCCAGGTCATCATCGGTACCTAAACAAGCATCCCAAGGAAGAAAGCAGCTGAACATCACACGTATCCATATCAGCAGGGCAAAAATGTACTACTATGAATCTCATTTGCTGTTGGCATTCTGGAAGGTTAAGTCCTATAAGTAAGATCAGTGGACTAGCTGTGATGTATTCCTGCAGCTAGTACTTTCTCATCTTGTTTAGAATTAAGGTGTGTTTAGAATAATCTTAACATTTTAACTTCAAAGTATTAAAATATGTGAAATAAATCAGCAATTTATGCACGATATAGGAAACAGCAAGCAGAAACATAATAAAATGTCATGTAACAAAATAAAATGTTATGGTACATAACGTTATCAGTTTCCGAGGCCTTCCAATTTCTTAGCCCAGGATGACAGCAGTGGATTTGCATAAATGAAGACCATGTTTTAGAATTAAATATAACAATTTTCCTCCAAAAACTTGGACTTTTATATACAAATGTGTAAACAATCAGTCTGCTCTGCTTACATTTGTTAGTAATCTCTGCAAGACGAGCTTTCTCAGAGGAAAAAGTTTCATCCAAGTCAAACAGCTCCAGAGGGGGAGGAGGCAATTCTCTGAAAGCAGGTGGAAAAACCTTGAAGAGAAGAATTAGCATGGTTTATGGCCAAATATTTTTCTTACACTTTACAGATCTCTAAGACAACAGTTTTAGACTTAGATTGAACTTGAACAAACCTTTTATAAAGTCAAAAGCAACTCCAAAGCCCACAGTACAAAGGTGCACCTTTTTAAAAATTGTATCTGTGTTTTGTAAAAATAACTGAATATTCCAAGAGTTTAGTGACAAGTATGCCAGAATTACCCCCTAGCATCACAACTAGATATACTGCATTTTCAGTTTTAGTTTTGCTCCATGAGATCCAGGTGATAGCTGAGATACTAAGCTTGCCATAACAGCTCATCTTGGAAACATATTCACATGAATTCTGGAAAGAGTATTTTCTTTTTCATGTAGTCACCACTTATGTCACAAGTTGAACTTGTGTTTTCAAAGAGCAACACATGAGACACTACTTTCAGTTGCATCCCTGCAGCTCTAAGGATCCCAGTGATGTTTCCTCAGTGGCCAAGGTAAAGAAGGATGGAGCCATAATAGCAAAACTCAAAGATACTCAAAGATCCCTGCTTTTCAAAGTACGTTTGACAGCACTACAGCTCCTGTTGTTGCTACTAGCCCAAATCTCTGCTGGCAAATCTGGCCAGCCCTTGCTGTAAAAGACCAAAGTTCCACTTTCTACTTCCCCAACAGATATGGGAGACAGAAGAAGAGTGGGACATGCTGGTTCCTCCCCTGGCAGCAGTCACTATTATTACTCACACCACCACTGCTTTCTGGAAGACCACATTTTGTTTTCACAGCAAAGGCTGAACCCAGCACCTCACAGGACTGGGAGCAGCTACTCAGCTGAAGGCTTATATACACACGCCATTCTGCTGTACTACCAGGTGCTACATTTTCAAGGTCTGTTGGTAAAAATTAGAAGCATAAGTGTTCTTTCCTCTCTGCAATGTATTAAGCTCCCAAGTGATTAATTATTACAACAGCATTTCTCACTTTTTTTTTTTATTTGAAAGAACGATGGAAGCGACACACAGAGGTTTTACATGAAACAGAGGGATTCTCCTTGTGCTGTATCAGCAAGGAGATTACTCACAGCTGGCTGGAGGACAGGTAGTGGAGTCTCAAATTGAGGCTGAATGAGTTGGAGGGGTTCATGCTTCACATTCAGCTGTTCGTAAGCTCTGCAGCACAGAAAAAGACAAAGTATGAGAGAAGATATGATACAACATCCATTTCCACTTGTATGCCATAAAGGCTATCGAGATTAATTTTTACAAAGACACTAGGGTCAACATTATGTACAGTCATAGCATTAAAAAAATGGCATGTCTAACTTTAGAAGGACCCCAGAGAACTACATATCAGTAATAACTGACTTTACAGCAAGCAAACCAGTTAGAATTACGACAGACAAGAAGATAATGACAGGCAGATACATAAAAAGAGAAAAAAGAAGGAAGTGACACCTCAATTCTTCAAGCAGCTTTCAAAAGGATGGATGTGCATGAGAAAAAAGTGATCCAGTTCAAAAAGAGCAGACTTGGGATTTCAGAAAGGTTTTTCAGGAAGTCCATAATCAAAAGCTATTTTAGAAAGTTATTTGTTATGGGATGATAAAGGAGATCTCACTATGAATTCACATCTAGTGAAAATACAAGAAATGTAGAGTAAGAAGAAAGGGTGTTTACAATAGAGTAGCATCTGTGTTAAGCCTGCTACTATTCAACGTGTTCATACATGATCTGGGTAAGACAAGCTATGAAGGACAAAGCTGCTAGTGATAAAAAACTGCTAAAACTGAACAACAGGTAAATCTCAATACAGAATTACTGGGAAATGCAAAGATGAATGAAATGCAGCTTCAGTAAACACCAAGCAATTAAAAAGTGGAAAAGCAACCAACTCTCAGTTATCACTCAGAAAGTACCCAGCATCACTGTAGATAGTTCTACTAAAAATATCAGTTCACTGAATCAGCAGTAGTCAGAAAAAAAGTAAAAAACAATGTCAGAAACTACAGCTAAGACAAGAAGCAAGAGAAAACATCACTGTCACCCTGTACAAATCAATCTTCTGGTATATCCATATTCAGAATGCTGCCGACAGCTCAGTCCCTTCTGCTCTTCAGCAGACACAGCTAAGCACAAACAGAAAATGCAGGATACACAATGGAAAAACAAATAAATAAATTTTAAAAATCACAGCTGCTGACTTGATAACTGAAGGGAGGGCAGTTGTATCCAGCTGATAAAGGGATGTATCAAAGAGCTTTGTGAAGTCTGTTGGGTTCTCATCTCCTTCTTGCAGACAGACTCGCAGTTGCTCAGACAGTGCAGCTGTATCTGGGAGCATGGTATAGTCTGAAACCTGAACACACACGGATATACACACCTATGATTTAAAAAGGCCAACTCATTTACAGAGACAGCTTACTAGTCAACTGTGGAAGACTGTTGTTCTTTTTATGCAGAGTATATAATTTTATCATGTATGATATTTCCAAATAAAAATAGCTTTTGCATACATCAGTGAAAAAAGCAACTAAAAATGATACACAGGTTGATCCCTATTCATATACAGAAAATCTGCCTTTACTTCATGCACTTTCCCCTTGTCTAAGGGCTCAGAATGAAATGCAAACTTACAACTGGAGCAGCACATGATCCCATAAACACGGGCAAATGGGAAAGAAACTTTCGCAAATGAAATCTGATCATGAATAGCAATCTGAGTCTGACAGAGATACAATACCATTATTTTTTATGCCTAAACCATCTGTTGACTCAATCCCAGACCCTGAATAAAGGGCCTAAAACAACAACAGCATCCCTCTAGCTGTTAACCTTTTTGTGCTAAATACATGTTTTGGTAAAACTGGTGCTGCCAGATCACACTATTATTTACTTCCTTATGATGGATCTCTCTTACCTCAGGGTCCTCCATATCCAACTGGTTTAAATGGATATCTGATGTTGTGAGCCACTGGAAAAGCACATCCTGGAGAAGAGCAAAACTTAATTTTAAGAGGGTCCAAGTAACCTTATGCTTAAACATTCATATTAAATCTATTAAATAACATACCATGAAAAAGAAGAAAAATATGGGTAATAAATCAAAGAATTTATAGGGAGAAAATACAAACTATTTGTATTTACAATATGGAAGCACCGAGTCACGGCAATGAGGATACTTTGCATGAGGTGCGTACTTTCAGGAACATCAGGAAACTCCCCTTCTTACACCTAATAACGTTACATTCCCCACTTTGGAAAGTGCATTACAATCCCCAGGTATCAGGAGCTTTATATGCAAAGGTTTATTAACAAAGTGGTGAACAGAAATAGGAAAAGCTTTTCAAAGTCCAATAACATAAATAATAAACTATATCTTTAAAAATTCCTTCCAGTTACTTTTGCTCTAACAAACTCCTCAGGCTGTTAGTAATTGGGTTAGAATCTCCACGCTGAATCCATTTCATAGTTATTTTGCTCCAAGATGAAGCTACTCAGCTTGAATTGCTTTGTAAGTGCTGTGAAGATCCACTAAGGTGGTTTTTTTTAAAAAAAAAAAAACAAAACAGACAGACAGACAAACAAAAAAATGCCAAAAACAAACTTACCATGATCTTACCATTTTCTTCTTTATCTAAGTATTGATCACTGAACATGTGGGAAGATCCCAACGCTGCCATCTTTCCACCTTGATTCTAACAACAAAGAATACAACATAGCAAAGCATCTTTCCAAATTGCAGTCTTAAAGGCAATTGCTAATGCTGTCTAATTACAAAGTGATTTCAAGAAATGGGAAATTTTGGAATAAGGAATGGTACCTGCAAACTTGGCAAGCTCACAAGAGTGCAGCATTTTTATAAGAGTATATGCTCTTAAGGCTCATAAATTTATTACAAATACTGATCTGCGTTTCATGAAAATAGACAAGTGTCTGGCAGTCAAAAAATACAGATAATATAATCAACAATAGCTGCACTTTGGCCATTTTTGCAGAAAAACACTCTTTTTCAATCAAGTAAAAAAGAACTAAGTTAAATGTATGCATTATAAATGAATGCAACCCACTCCTCAGTGTTCAGAATGTAAACCTAGAGGCCAGCAACACACATGCATGTCAATATAGCACATATTCAGGTCAGGTAATAAGAGTTTGGTAATTGTATTATTTAGAAGGTAAAATGCAAAGTATGCAGCTCATTATATTTTAATTTACCTAAATTAAACATGCGTGAAAACATACTAATGAGATATCTTTGGAATTTTTCTCAATCCTGATTACCCCTTAATCCTTCCACAAGGACATACGTAAATAGCAAGCTTTCAACAGAACAAAACACCCTGTAATTCTCCCTGCACCAACTGTGAAACTCATAGCATAATATAACCATGAAGACTTAGGCAATGAATTTGAAGATACATCAAACAAAACTCCATGTTCTGCAAGGCTTTAACCTGAACTCTACATGCTTTACCCACAATAATGTAACTAGGTAGGATCCCCTGCTCTTACTTTCCATTCTTTCACTTTCTTCTAACAAGAGTCTCTGCTCTGCTTGAGAGACAACCTCTGTCTTTAGCTTCATCTTCTACCCTCGTGTCTATAACTTTCTTGAGCTAGATAGCAAAATGATGCCATCTATTTGACATTCATGTATTATATCAAAGGAAGAGCTATCAGTACAATGTGTAATGGCTTCCACTGCACAAACCTATTACGCTTCAGTGATCAACCCATGCAAAACACTTCATGGAGGTGCAAACAAGTTATATGGCTTTGACTTAGAGCATAATTTAGTTGTTACAATTCTTAGAAGAAAACACTCCTCTCCACACCTACTACATGAAACACAGGAGACCCGACCTAAACAGGAACACCAATGAGCAAGGCTCTAAACCCAGCAAAGTTAAGGTTTTACATAACTCAGATGATTTATGTCACAAAAAGACAACTCTATCATTAATGCAAATAATTTCAGTATTACCATGGGTGCAAAATTAGGCATGAGTCTACGGGTCCATTGGATCTATGTGCAAATATTGCATGGGTGGAGGGATTTTATTATCTCTTAGAGCTGCAGATAAAATGTGAGCAGTTCACTTCATGCTGCTGTATTGTCTTTGATTTATGGGGTCTATTTCAGCCACAACATGGGGGATGAAGTTGGGCATCCTCAGGAAACAAATCACCTTCCTACTGAAGATATCAAAAACCACAGCAGTGTTAGAAACTCATTTCCATAGTAAAAAATATGTTGACCTGTTTACGTTCACTAACAATATTAATTCTTTGTTTGTACCCATCAACTAGATTTCTGAAATTTTTTTCATAAATTAAAAGGGCTGGATGGCTAAGATAACATAAAAATCTACCAGTTCCAAGGTGACAGGCCTCTTCCTTAACTCAATGTGGCATATTTATGAATCTAACAATAATCCTACTTACTAAATGATCACTAAAACGGTGTGAAAAAACCCAAACAATGAAACTTCAAAGAAAAACTAAAAATACCCATCTGTCAACCAAATAAATATATAATCTTTGCTGACCATCAGATCAATTCTCCTCTGAACCCCATGCAAAGAAGTTTTCCATGAAAGGAGGCAGAAGTCACTCGGCTCATCTGGAGCTTGCAGGCGGCATCAAAAATGGGTTTGTAAGTACTCCCAGAAAATACACTCACAATTTTTTGTGTGGGGTAGGGGAAAAATGTATGGTTTGTTACATGCAAAATCATACCTCATGCTGATAGAAAGCAAGAATAGGCCTGTGGAGCGGGTAGCAAACAGATCCTGTTGATAGAACAGCCACTGCTGGTTTCATTACATTCAGTGTGGCACCAAATGGATACACAAAGGTGAGCGCTCTGCAGGAAATACAGAAACTCCAGAAGTACCTGCATGCATCAGGTAGGCTGGACATTTTTATAAAACTCAGTCTGCCTGCCTAAACCGCAAACCGATTGTGCACTGGTGGGGGAATGTCAAGAGGCATAGTTTAAAAGATTCAGATCATTATAATGACATTTTAGTCTCTTTCTATAGTTTTTTCCAGGTTGATGCCTTGTCTTAAATAAGGAACCAAGAACACTCTTGATTTCTGTTTGCACACTCCTGTCTCCAAGAAAAGGGTGGGGGTATTTAACTCACAGATGAATATATATTCTGGAACAAAACTACATGAAATGTTTTTACACTGACATTTTTCCTTGCAATCAACCACATGGTCATTTATTAGTCTAAAAATTAGCTGCAAGGAAGAATACAAACATTTATAGTTATTTATGGAAAAGCTGTGTTCTTCTCAATGCCTTTCCACTCCTCTGCAGCACAGAGGGATGGATCGTTAAAAACTGCAATAAATTTTTATCTTACCCTGGATTAAGACTCTTTAAAAAGATGTAGGGTTGCTCATGCCTGCAGCCAGACTACTCACTATCTCGAGGTTATTCATATTTACATTGTTTAATCAAATCCACAGACAAGGGACAAAAAAGATCTGGCCAGGAGAGGAATAATTCCCTTCAAAACCTATCACTCCTGCTCTTTCATTGGTCATCAAGCACTACGAAACAGATTCTCCTTTCCAGATATAACCTCGAGGAGTAAGAAGCTGACATAAGAAATACATTAAGACAAAACCTCAAGACAAGCACAACACACTCCTGATAGATTATAGACCTGCTAATTCTGAGTTATTCTACATCTTTTCATATCGGCTTCCTCAAAGCAAAACACTTACTGTGAGTCATCTCCACTTCCATCTCCATCTGTTATCCCAGGCACTGTTTTTCCTGCAGCTTCACTGATTCCCCTAGAAGATGTTGAAAAGCAAATCTTACTAAAAACAATACAGCTTATAAGAGTTTACTGTAAAGATTTATATACCCCAAATATTTACCTATTCAAAACTCCATCAGAGATCAGCGCTTCTTTTGGGTGGTGGTACTTGTAATACACGTTTCGTACTACAGCATCTTGAAGAAAGATAAAAAAAATAAAGGAATTTACATCTTAGCTGACGAGTGTGCCAGATATAGCAATGAAAAATGAGTTTAGCTCTTGGATTCCCTGGGTGTTTGCTTCTAACACCACAAAGTTGGCACGTGGCTCCAAAAAGAATTCAGGTCAGCCTTTTCTACTGTTTCCTTCTGGACATACAGATTTAGAACAGGAATATATTTGCAAGTTCAAATAAAAATAAGCACATCTCCATGTCTTCTGCAAAGCAAAAAAGGCAGAAGGATAATCCAGTTAAAAGAATGTGTATCAAGTTCTACAAGTTTAAGTCATTTTTTTACATGTCTTCCAAAAGCTTGATAAATCTAATACTGTTGATGCAAAAAAAGGCACAAAATGCCACCAAATACCCTGAAAATATTTTATGCACACTGAGACACAGCTAGGGTTATTTCACATTGGCAGTACAAACCAAATGAATGCCATTTTATTGGTCTGCTAAAGAAAAGTGCCACTGTTTATTCAGGGTGAGTATGACGTGATTCAACCCATTAAAATGCGTGGGAAAAATGTTTGAAATCAAAGGCTTTTTAACCAAGAAATGTCACTGGAATTGGCTTTTGATACTAAATAACATTAAAACTGACAACTATAGCAAAAGAATGGAGATGGCTGAGTTGTTATCAAGGTACTGTGTCCACGGAAAGCCCATGGTGTGCTTCAGTATTACAGTACCAGGTACATGGAGATTTCAAGAAAAAAACATCCCTTAGACCAAAAGGGATCACTTTGCGAGAGGGATCTGCATGGATTACATTGACAAAGGTGGAACCTGCTCTTTAGATTTTGCTGAAAATGGAAGAATAAAAGGTACAAGTGAGCCCAATTACCATTATTGAAAAGGATCCCATATTCTTCTAACAAAAAGTTAATATTTGTGCCGTATCGTGACTCCCCGCCTTCTCTTAGCATCACCAGGATGGCTCCACCATCCTCCAGGAATTTCCTCAGAACCGAAAACTAGAAGACAGCAAATATCCAGAAAAAATATATGTGAAGGAAGCTACACACAAGATTGCAGGAAGGTACACTGAGATGGGGGAAGGTAAATGATCTGACTACTTGCAATGAACTTGATCCCATCAGAAAAGCATTCAAATTTCAGTTTGTGTGAATTCATATAAAGCAGTACTATTGCAAATTCTTCTGTGTTGTTCTTTTCTATTTCATATTAAACAAATCTTGAAACATAACTAATTTGCAAACAATTATTGACTTCTTACCTCAGCAGCACTGAACTTTTCTCTTGGCCCTGCTGTAATCCACAATTTTACCCCAAGCAGTTTCTCAGATGTGATCTCATCTTTTAAGCTGTGAATAGATTAAGAGACATGATACTCTTGGATATAGTCCTGACCCACAACTTTTTATTTTTTTTAAGAACTAGCAAATAAACACAAAGCAAACCACTTCAGTCACTTCACATCCTCTTATCTGGGTTTAAAGTTGACAGTTCAAGTGAAAATAAACCTTACAAATTTCAACCCATTAAACAGTAAGCCCCTCTAACAAGGTTCTGCAGCAGATCCAGAACTGATATAAACCACGGTAGCTGCTATTAAACTTTGCACCTGATCAGCTTCCTCTTATTCTTTTTTTCTTTTTGCTCTAGACACATTTTGTAGTGGACAGATAAGCAATATAATACGAGGACTGTTTTCTTTTTATCCCAAACTCTGTATCAAGATAGACTCAAAAACATGTATTAGGAGTTTCATCCTTATAACTTCAGAGGGCTGGAGCACCTCCCCTATGAGGACAGGCTGAGAGAGTTGGGGGTGTTCAGCCTGGAGAAGAGAAGGCTCCGGGGGGCCCTTCCAGCAGCTTCCAGTGGCTACAGGAGAGATGGGGAGGTACTTTTTACAAGGGCATGCAGTGACAGGACAAGGGGTAATGGATTTACATTGGAAGAGGGCAGATTTAGACTAGATATAAGGAAGAAATTCTTCACAGTGAGGGGGGGTGAGGCAGTGGCCCAGGCTGCCCAGAGAAGCTGTGGATGCCCCATCCCTGGAGGGGTTCAAG